TCAATGAAGTATCTGCCCTGCCCCTCGCTTGTTCATGTGAGGGGTTTCTTTTCCATTTTTAACAAGGATGGATTTTAGCTGTCCTGTTTTTATTGGTCAGCATATCTTAGACGGACTCCCTAGCTTCAACCTGTGGATTTCAAAGGGAGTGCCTGTCTGGTTTGCTAAATGGTAATTTTAGAGTCCTGGTGTAGCGCTGCAGGATCAAGCACTGGACTGCAAGGCTGGTTCGAATCACAAGATCCGTGCCTCTTAGTCACCAGCTGAGTCAGAACTGACTCGACGGCATTTAACAACAAAAGTATTTTGGTATCTGCAAACTCTCCCTTCCTTAGAGAGAGAGCAAGTGTGTTAACTGTGGGTGTCCCTGACTGTACAACACACTTGACCTACCCCGCCACAGGGCTGAGCCTATCAGTCCTGATCAGTATATGTGTCCAGGGAGACTGTCGACACATGGGTAAAACCAGCTGCCATCCAGTCATCTCTGACTCGTGGCAACCTCCTGTGTGTCAACAGTAGAACTGTGTTTCACAGTGGTTTGAATGGCCGATTCTTTTGGAAGTAGATTACCAGACCTTTCTTACAAGGCACTGCTGGGTAGATTGGAACTGCCAACCTCTCCGTGTGTGATAGAGCATGCTGAGCTTGTGTGCCACCCAAGCATTCCAAAGTGTGGTGTTGTAGGATAAGCACTGGACTACAAACCACAAGATCTGCAGTTCAAACACACCAGCGGCTCCTTGGAATCCCCATACAGGGCTGCTATGAGTCCAAACCAACTCGATGGCACTTAACAACAACAATAACACACGTTTGCTCTTCGGCTCTTGCCAAAAAGTGTCCTATAAGTCACATGGTCACAGTTACCTTTAAAGAAAGCGGAGAATTTCAATATTACCATATGCCAGGAAGACAGACAAATAGGACCTCTGTGATTAGCTCCAATGACCACTATACGCAGCTATCTGAACCAACAACAACAAAATCCTTTCTGAAAAGGAAAAAAGAAGAAAACGGAAATTCTTTTTTTCTTTCATGGATTAGAAGGAAAACAATGTATGCTTATTTTCTCATTAGGACAAACTGTTAGGCGTTTTCTCCCAAGTAATAAAAGGGGGAGGAAAGAAGGGGAAGACAGAAAGGAAAAAAGGATTTAGAAACGGCTAGTGACCAGGGTTATGCAACGTGGGGACTGTAGCTGGGTTGTACATGTAAAAATGGCTGAAAAATCACATGTTTTGTAAAATACAAAACATAAAAATCCTTTCTTGTTAGCAGCCCTCAAGTGGGCTACTGTCTCTTGGAGCCCCCATGTGTTACACAGAAGAACTACTCCATAGGTTTTCTTGGCTATAATTTTCATGGAAGCACTGGATGGATTTGAACTGCCAACCTTTCTATTAGCTAGTAGCTGAGTGCAAACTGTTTCCACCACTCAACACAAAGGTAGTTTGCTTGCCGCCTCAGCACCTTTTGTCATGATGAGAATCCTCATCTATGTGGCATTTGAAACCATTTTAAAGGATTTCACAAATACCTTCCCCTTAACCGTGGTCCCGAGCTCAGTGGAGCACCAGTAAGTACTTATGCATTTTATTGAGATGTCAGCTCTGAGACATCTGGGACTGAACTGGAATCTG